TCATGGTTACGACATTCGCGTCATTTTTCGCATATAAAAATATCACCCGCAATTCGATCAAATGAAAAAAATGGATCAAAGATAAAATCGTAGTTTTCTATACCCATCTTTTCGTAGCTATATCAAGAGAGACTTAAACGAATATATGATTGTAAAAGATTAGGGATTTACACCGCGGGCGTTATGTAAACAAACAACTACACAGCATCGGGAATTTTAATATTTCTAAAAAACAGTCCTTACAGTTCTCGCAATTCCAATTTGTAGATTTGCAGATAATTTAAGCTCGTATAGGTAAGGTTGATTCATCGGAGAAACAAAAAACCAGCCATATAAATAATAGCTCCATATGATATATATATGGCTATTTAACATATGACTGTAAGCGTAAGAGGATTATCTGCAGTATTATGGATCGGTATGGTAGATTGAATATCCTCTCAAGGTACCACCAAAGTTTTTTCGACTATACTTTATTGAACCTTGCCCGTGTTCTTTACTCTCTACCGGTAATATTTCACTTACAATTTATTAAATAGTAATAAATGATTTAAGTATTGAACTAACAGGTGACTAACCTCGAAGTTATATTCAGTTATTAAAGCAAATAATAATATCTCTTAAGAACTAAATTATAAGGAAAACATATATTCCTAGATTGTAAGTTAAGATGTCTGTGTTCTCTATATAGAATAGAAATATGGAATGAAAGGAAATATCCTCCTTTAAATATTCCAGCGTGGCATTCAGAAATAACTCTAAATGTGACACGTCTGAGAAATACAATGGAGAATAAAACAATATAAAAATGTCGCAAGAACACCCGCACAAAACAAACTGGTAATCGTGCACACATTCATTTTTTCACCTAATCATTCTCATTCTTGAATGACCCCTCAGAAAAAACTTTACACAGTGTTCTGAAAAGGGATACACAACTGAGCTTGTACGTTGAAAAGCGAACTAATAACAAGCACCTACCACAAACAAGGATGACCAAGTTAAAGCTAAACGTAATCATTATTCCATTGAATTCTGCAAATGAATCAACTAGCGAGATAGACCCATTGGTTTGTAAGCGTTTTCTACATTTGGAAGATCCAACAATCGATCTTAATGAACTTAAAGAACGAATTGAAACTAGATGCCAAAGGCTATACCCAGATGAGGATAAGATCCTGATTGAAGGATTTCAAGATACCCATCTTTGCGATTTGGATCCTGATTATTGTATTTCTGACGTGTTTCTGCCAGGTGATATTTTAAGAGCTATCATCAGGAATCAATTTAAAAGCCAGAGCCTATCAATATCGAATACAAGCTTGCAAGGTACGCGGAGTCCACCTCTTCTACAGGAGCCAACAATTATCACTGGTGCTACTGAGATTCCAGGAAGTCACAAACGTAGTCAAGAACTTTTTGATAATAGTGACAACGATGATTCAGCTAAACACTCAACAACAAATAACGACGTGCCATCATTCCCACAACCTAGAGAACACATATTCTCTGCTCGAGAACCTTTAAAACCACGAGCAATAAAAGTTCCAAGAAAGAAAAAGCGGGAATCCGCATCGCCTTCCAATGATAAAGGTAGTGGAGGCTCAACAGCACCAGACGTGGTATCTATACCTGGATGTTCTCCAATAATTTCCATGTCTACTCCATCCTCCTCAAATAGATTTGAACAAGCTCAGAACAGCCAAATGTCATGTCAATCCACTGAGACCACCCAAAGTATAATTCCAGCCACTCAGCCCCAAACAAGAAGATATGCCCCTGGTAATACATTTCACTCTATTGTTTCAGCTTTACCAAACTTTCAATACGACAGTGCAACATATACTTATAATTATAAAGGTCATGATGTTCTTCTGATAATTGAGACCATTGAACATATTCTGCTTTGGTTCAGTCCTAGTTATAGAGCTTGTCGATTCCCGTGCAACAAATACTCTGAAGGATGTCGTGCTTATATAAGCTTGCTGAATGACGAAACACCAGAATTAGAATGGAAATACGATCATAATCATGATTGTTTGTCAGATCAATACTTTGTTGATAACAATGAAGAGTTAAAGATGCAAAAATTTATACTTGAACACTATCTAGAATTGGACTGGGAAGATCAGAGAATAAAGTATTGTGAAAATTTCAATCGAAGCAATTTGTTAACTTTTGAACTGTGTTATGGTAAGATTAATCTATTATATAAGCACATATATTATAGAATTCATC